AAGTATTGTGTGCTACTGTGGAAAAGTTTGTGTGCCACTGCAGCAAAGTGTGTGCTAGTGTGGGAAAGTGTGGTGTGCTTGTGTGGAAAAGTGTTGTGTGCTACTGTGGAAAAGTGTTTTGTGCTAGTGAAACAAGGTGTGGTGTGCTCCTGTGGGAAAATGTGGGTATTTTCTGTGGGAAAGTATTCCGCGCTAATGCAGAGAAAGTGGTGTGCTAGTGCGGTAAAGTTAAGTGTGATACTGTGGGTAAGTGAAGCGTACAACTGTCAAAAGCTTGTGGGCTTTTATAGCTCAGGCAGGGGTTTAGTCTGACTATGGAGGTCGCGATAGTGACCAAAGCAATAACAGCTGGAGACACAGACTTTCACCTGCTCATGCTTTCTCAGTATTCATCATCAACATCATCATCATCTTCTTCTTCCCTTCTGTCCGAAAACTGACATCAGGAGGCCGGTAGCCTTTGTGAAAGCTATCGTACAGACCACATCTCTCCATGCACCACACAGCTTTGTCTTCACTGTGGCTGGAGCAAGCCAGATTGCGACTCTGTTGGCAGCATACATCTGACATTGTTGTTGCACTTGTTCAGCGATTTCTGGTGCCAAGTTGCAGGCCCACGTCTCCGTGTTTCCTAAACTGACAAGTTTGAACATTTGTTGGTGAAATCTGCTGCGTCCTGTCTTTAGTCTGAATATAAGATATTCGCTCTCTATTGAGGCGATGAAGCGAGTCTTGAGCAGAAAATTTGGAGTGTGTATCCAGCCACCTTTCTTGGACACTAGACTGTATTAATATCTTAGTCTCTTGGTGAGCTGAGCCCGTTTGATTGCACCATGTTACAGCCGCTACTGGCCAATCTGTCGGCTATTTCACTGGCTTTCAAGGCGCAGTGGCATGGAGTTATCCTATCAAAAATGAGGATTAGCACGTTAACTATTTTTAGTGGTGGCACATTTTTGCTTCTGGCAAACTGTGGTCGATGCATTTTCCTTCGTTTGTAGACTGAAAGGATATAGCTACTATTGAGATGAGTGCATGGAGTGACATTGTGAGCTGCGGATTTTATCTGGATTGTTTTCCGAATGTGACCAACGTGGTGTTGTGAAATCTAGACGCGGAAAATGGCGAGTGGCCTGTTGTAACAGAATTGGTGGTGCCTTATGTTAATAAAACTGATCACGTTTGCAATTACTGATCTGTTTGTAGATGCTGCTTCTGGCGATGATGAGCTGCATTTCTGTCGAACTATTTGTGTTAACGTTTCTGATGGCGGCCTTATGCTTTGAATGCGTGTGTATAAAGGTAAAGTCGGGAGATGTGAACCAGCGTCATTGCTCACGGTTATAAACCATAAGTGCTCTGCTACCAGTATGGACAGCTGATAAGAAATGTCCGCCTGTGTCACCGTTCGCAAGTAACTATGTAGCTACATACAGCGACGTTCCTCCATTTACTCCAGAGTTTCAACTCTGGTACCCATTTCCTAGAGGCTGGGTGAACCCCGAGAGACGTCCGGTTTTGAACACCGACTGTGGCTGCAGCGAGTCGCAGCTTGATTTGAAAGCTAGCCTCTTATCGACTGCGCTAACGTGGCCCATAAAATGCGTGTGTATGTTAGTGAGTGGATATGCTCAGACAGCAGTTTGTATCAATTTTTCCACCAAAGACTGATGAACATTCTGTGTTTTTTGTTGTTGTTGGCACAGGAGCGAAGCAACTATGGGTTGACCCGTCCACTATGAAGCTGAGACTAAGATTACCAGATGACCGGTGTCGTGGAAACCATTGCAGCACAGACTGTTGCACTGAAGAACCCAAGTGAATCAGCTGTTGATGCAAGTCTACAAACTTAGTGTCTTTTGAATTAACAGCTGGGGATAGAACTGACATAGCATAAGAGCTTTTGAACTGAAATGCTACAGAAAAATACTTCCAATACCGTGAACCAAGAAGAAAACAACTGCATGGCTTGAACATGAAGGAGAACTGGCTCATAAACAGCATCCTCTCCAGAAATACGGTGGTCTGGAGAGAACAGTGATGGGGGGATGCAGTCACCGGAACATGAGGCAGAGGTCACAACCTACGAGAATGTAGATACAAGACCTTGAGTTGCACTGACTATGAAAGCACATAGGGCTGCAGAACTGGCTTAAGAAAAAGACACCTTCAGTTGTGCTGTGACGACAGCGACGTTCTAAAGGACCTGCTGATTGGCTGAGACCAATGAATAACAGCGGTCCCTGTCCTGGGAGCTGGGAGTAGCATGGCTGGTGCAGTCACCATCAACTGTTCAAGTTTGGAAGTTTATTTTTGATCCACAACAGAAAAAAAAAAATTCCCTTCAATCACCTTATTTAGGATTTGAACCCAGAACTCCCACACAACAGCTTGGTGTTCTAGCAACTTGGACAGTGACTCCATAGAACTTGGATAAACAATAATAAGAACAACAGCAGAGCAATAACAACAAACATCACAATAATTAAATAACATCAACCACAAGAGTAATAATCATCATCTTTGCAATCAACAGCTGTAAACCCCAGCAGAAAGTTCAGATGGATGTTTAATCCACCCCCCCCCCCCCCCCCCCCCCCCGACTTCAGTTTTGTTCCAGAAGGGTGTTGGTCCACCCCCGACTTCAGTTTTGTTTCAGAACCCCAGTGCTGCGTGCACATTTGTTTAACAAATCTAACTAATTTATATGCAGACTCCTGGCCTCTTGCCTCTTTGAAAGAAGTTCCCAATCAGTCGACTCCTGTGATTCCCAATGAGTCGACTCCTAGGACAGGCTTGTTGGGGAGGTAGTTTGTCTAGTATTGTTTCTCAAACAATGGGCCCCGGAACGAACAAGAGGAGCAATAATATTGACAGCAACAATAACAACAGCAGTATCAATAATTCTGTTATTGAAGCCTCTGAGAAGGCTAACCCAGGTACACAAATGCCTGCAGAAGTCAGATGTGTCAGCCAACAGATGGGTCAGATATCACAGAAATATAGTAAAAGGACACAGAGCATTTACATCTTCAGATGAACGCACAAGACATACTACCAGCAGTAAAAACAATCACAAGGAAAATAAACACAATCATAATAATATTATGATTAATATACTGCCCATAATGCCCCAATGGACACATGCCCCCAAACACCCAATATCAAGCCACCCTATTTATCAAACTGTTCATACCAATTGGTTTTTGTGGCTACAATGGTTTACAAGATTAATTAAGTGACCTCTTTTCTTGTTTTTTGTGTGTTTTTTTGTGTTTTCTTTCTCCAGGCTGCTAGCTGAACGTCTGACCACCCCAAGCTAACAAAATCTCAACCTGGATGGCAAGCCAGGGGGGCAATCCACCAGCAGGCAGAGTGTTGACAATGCTATATAGGTAAAGAGCAAACAACATGCCAGGTAGAGTGCCAACATGCCAGGCGAGAGCCAACATGCCAGGTGGAGTGCCAACATGCTAGGTGGAGTGCCAACATGCCAGGTGGAGTGCCAACATGCCAGGTGGAGTGCCAACATGCCAGGTAGAGTGCCAACATGCCAGGCGAGAGCCAACATGCCAGGTGGAGTGCCAACATGCCAGGTGGAGTGCCAACATGCCAGGTGGAGTGCCAACATGCCAGGTAGAGTGCCAACATGCCAGGTAGAGTGCCAACATGCCAGGTAGAGTGCCAACATGCCTGGTGAGTGCCAACATGCCAGGCAGAGTGCCATGTTACTATTCTTTGCTCAGCAAGGGTCTCAATTTTGATAACAATAAGCAGCCAAAACAAAATTTATAACAGCAACATCAGCAACAATGATAACAACAAACTTAACAGCAACACTAACAACAGCAGTGAAAACAACATTGAGAACAGTAACAACAAACAATGAGGAAGATAACAATGAGACAAAATGCTAACAATATGGACAACAGTTTCCCTATGTGGGTTCCAGGCCCCCAGCTTTTTTAGGGTGGGGGGAAGAAGAGGCCCAATGCTTCTTAACTTAACAATCATGTCATAAAAGGCAACTAATTAAGGATTTGCTCAAACTAAACGTGCTGAGCCAACAGGTAAACTGCAGGTTGTTTAATAACTCTAGCGGTGCTCCAGTATAGCTGTGTTATACAGTGGGACAGGGTTTATGGGATTTGTTCTGGTCTGATTCTCATCCTTGAAGTGTTAACTTTTTTCAGTTCCAGAAGGTTTGTCAGGAGATCCTAAGGGAAGAGAAGAATGTGATTCTTCTTCTTCTTCTTCTTCACTTCCTCTTTTACCGCTGTGGGTGTCGAGGGAGAAATAAGGTTCTGTCTCTAGCTCTTCTGGCCGCCTCGACCATAGGCACATCGTGCTGTTGTAGAGCTTCTCTGATGTTATCCTTCTATCTTGTTCTTGGTCTACCTCGTGCTCTACGTCCTTCTTCTCTTTCCATGTATGCTTTGTATGGTATGGTGTCACAAGGCATTCTGTCTAAGTGGGCAAACCATTTCACCTGCTGTCTTCGTATGTAATTTAGAATTGGTTCTGTGCTGACTTTTGAAGAATGTGATTACTACCCCAAAAAAATATCAGGTGTGATTTGCTTCTGAAGAGGCCACATAGACAATGAAGTGACCTATGGAGAAGCCAGATTTCCTTAGCATGTTGTGGCCGAATAAAAGACACTATGAAGTAAAAAAAAAAATGGTGCAATTATTTGAATTTTTCAGGAATGACAAATGACACCTCTTGTGTCTCGTGGGAGTGAAAGAGTTATAAGTATGGATGACAATTCTGGAGGGGAAACTATGAGCTGACCTGACCTGATGATACAGCTTAGCTGTAAGCCACAAGAAAATGTGCCAACCACCCTTTTAAGGGTTAATATAGAAGAAGGATAACATAAACAAAGTTAGCAACATAACACCAAAAGTGGATATAACAACAAAAGAATCAAATCGATTCTGGTATGACAAAGCAGTGCTAAATATGTCTATTCACATGGATACAGTACATAATCTCACCTTCCTCTAGATCATTCCTGGCTGCAGACTCCAGAAGGGCAATGTTCGCCACAAACCTGACTCGATCAGATCCTCGTTTTGATTTTGTTGAAGCCGGTTTCTGCTGCGCTCCTTTCTTTTTTGATTTTTTCCCACTTTCTTTTTCCAGCTGTTTCTCATACTGATTCCATTTCTTGAGCTGCTGTGACCGACGTTTCTTGGCATGCTTCAGTCGATCCTGAGTTGTCATCCGTTCAATGGATGCCATCTCATTCACCAACTCATAATGCTCGGTTGCCATTTTCCTGTTGTATCAGTCTCCCTTCCACACAACTAGCAGAAATAATTCAAATCCTCATGAAATAGAGATTCAAAGTTGTATCCGTACATGGTATTTCGAAATCATGAACAAAACACCACAGAATTAATATTTAACTTAAACCCAGCATAATGTTATTCATAAATCTCATCAGAGATTTTGGTTTCAAAGATTACATGTAATCCAAGAATGCTATCACCTGTTCACCGATGTAGATCACTTTTCTAAATCTCAGTCACTAAATTTTATAATAATATTTACAATAATATTGGTGTCACTGTTGACTTATATGCCCCATGGTCGTGTATTTCAGATAAACAGGCAACAGCAGCTTTCTGGCCAGCGTATAATTTCCCTCCACTTGCTGCTGACTTGCTAGGTCTGTAGCATCCCTGTGTCAGCTGTCTTAGCCAGTAGCCTGTAGGTGCTTGTGGATGGGCAAGGAGGTTCCTGTAGAAAGATAAAAAGGAAACATGAAAGAGGATTCAGTACGCAATTATAAACAAACAAACAAACATTAAAATGAATAAACACTGTGTGTATGCTATTTGATCCCCGTATGGGTTCATGGGCACAATTGGGGAGAGGACGGGGTGGGGGTTCGGACCCAGTGCCTCCCTAACAAGCATGTTGTAAGAGTCAACTAATTAGGGGTTTCCTTCTAAATCTGGTGCATCTGCCTGAGAGGCGAAGAACCAACAGTCTGCATACAAATAAGCCAGATATGTAAAATGGATAAAACACTAAGCTCAAGTCCAGAAGTGGATGAACAACCAAAACTTTCTGCCATTATTTACAGCCAGTGAACACAAAGAAGAAGATGAAGAGGAAGAAGAAAATGAGGAAGATGAACAAGAGGAAAAGGAAGAAGAGGAGGAGGTGGAGGCAGAAGATTAGCAGGAGGAAGAAGAAGAAGAAGGAAAAGAAGGAGAAAAAGAAGAAGAAGAAAAAAGAAGAAGAGGAGGAAGAAGCAGCAGCAGCAGCAGAATAATAATAATAAAAAAATATTAATAATAATAATACTCTGGAAGACTGAGCTCCTAACCTAAAGCACTGATGTTTGAGACATCTATCTCCTAAAAATTACCCACATCTATTGCAGTGAAACTGGCGAAGAGTCTTTCCTACCCTCATATTACCAAAGTTCTATCTCCAAGGGGACTGTGCTGTAGAGATCTTCAATAATTTAAAAAAAAAGGCGGCTTTGGTGACTGACTGCTTTCATAAACAGTGAGTTGTGATTCTGGTGTGGTACTGTTAGTTCTGACAATCTAATGGCTACATTATGCATTTACTCTGCATGTGCGAGCTTCAAGATTTTTATGGGACTGATGTTTTTCACAAATTTTGTAGAAAAGGACAGCGAAGGATATTGAGTGTGATTGACACTGACAAAGGAACTGAACAATTTTAAGGAGACCAGTCTACGGGGAAGCAGCACCTTTGCTTTGGCTACCGGGGGGGGGGGGGGGGGGGGGGGGAGAAAAAAAAAATTGATAATAATATACCCTGTTTTCTGCTGGCACCCTCAGGCAGGGGTCCAGTAAGTTATACATGCTGAGGCCCAGGCCCCGTCCCCCACCCCCAAGAAAATGTATAAGGAAGCTAATTGGGCCTCATAACATGTGTGGAAGTTCTCATTTTAAGTATCTACTGACATATGAAATATTATTTCAAGCATACTATAAGATAAGAAGAAACTCCACTGGGAGCATGTACAGCAGGAGTCTACCAATCACCAGTAGAAGTAATCTCTCGTCAACAAATGTTTAGGTCCGAGCTCCTAGACATTTTCAGAGAGTGGGCCCACCTGAGTTCATGAAGCTCAGGGTTGATTTTCTCCTGCTGCACGTATTACCGGATGTTATCGGACAGGGACAAGACGAATTTGTGACTTTGCAAAGGTACTGTGAGATACGAAGTAGTTGCGGTAGCATAGTTAGAGCATTCATCTTACATGGACCACCAAGTGGCAAGCTTACGTTTGGTTTACCGGACACATGTTGGATTACTATTATTAGCTCCCATGTCAATTTGACCTTAAATGGGTACCAGGCAAAGTTCTGGGAAGTAAAGGCAGCCAGAGTGATGCTGACCATTTCCTCCATCAAGTGCCGATTAGTCTATAACATATAGATTTAGCCCTTTACGCCCAATATGCTCAATGTGTGGAAAAGGGTCTCTACTTTTTATTCAGCACATTAATATTATTGTTTACCACTTATTACTCCACACACCCCTTTGCCTCTTCCCCGCAAGCGGTTGGAGAATTTTTTGGGAAATTGACTTGAAATTAAACTCGACCTCAAAAAGCTATTTAACAAGGAGAAGAATGCAGAGAATGGGCACACAAACAAAACACGGTATGTGAAGAAAAATAATGGGGAAATATAACAGCCGGGGCTAGCTGGGTGCAAGTGGGATAAACAAAATGTAGGCCAAAAACGTTAAAAGAATGTAAATTATGTGTGCGGTAATCTAACGCCGTCCAGACTGGCAAGAAGACGTTTCATAATTTATGAGCTGACTGGCCAGACTTTGTTAAGTGACAGATTAAAATGCCGCATACAGCCAGGTACGACACGGTCCAGGGCTACCAATACTGGGGTTTTCCCCCCAGATCTTGGTTTTTATATGACGCCTTGGGAAAATCTTTTTTTTAAATATATCCCTATATAAAAGTGGTAAATGCTTCGTTTCCTAACTATAAATTTTGTACATTTTAACAATCTGGGTTTTTTATTTGAGTTTTTTTTTTTTTTTGCTGAGGAATTGCTTGGGTTTTTGTGCAGCTTAGCTGGGTTTAAAAAAAAAAAATCCAATTGGCAGCCGTGGCGACACCTGACAGTGACAGGTCTACTATAGAGTCTGTTGCCTGTTCCTTGTCTTAATGTAAAGGATCTTTTTCACAACAGTGGCGCATCAGGCGTATGATGCTAGACATATTTGTATAGCCCAACGTTGGGCGATATGGTCAACATTACGCCGGCCGCCTTTACCGAACTTCAACCTAAGATTAGGGAGCATGTATCCGTTACAGCAAATTTGTACTGGCCAGTGAAGCTGGTGTAAACGTTGTATATTATATGGCTCTTGAGCTCACAAACCAGCAGAACACAAAAACATTCCAGAAGGCTAAGCCGGTCAACAAATGCATGCAGAAGTCAGATGCGTTGACCGTAAGACGCAAATATCGCAGCCATGCTGTAAAAAGACACAAGGCAATAACGTCTTCAGAAAAAAAAAAGAAGAACAACCAACAACATCAACACAAAACATACGTTCATATGCAGACAGAAAAACAAAAACAATTCCAAGTAACATTTTTAAAAAGGTATAGCCTTAACAGTGATAAGCAGAAACGCATGTCGCAAAATCTGTGATCCTGTCGGTAAAACACGTGTTGCGGACAAACTCAGACATTATGGAACAGTTTCTGCCGAAGGACTTTAATCATCATCATCAGGTGCCTTGCCGACTGGCGTGGGCGAACATGCCTCTCCATAATCCACCATCTCCTGCAGCATGTATCAGTTCGTGTGCCGACACACCTCCACGCCATGCAACAAGACTGTCAAGAATCTTCTCTCGTTGTCTTCCTCTATCCCTCCTTCCATAGATCTTTCCAGTGGTCACAACATGTTCTCATAACATGGCCGAAAAATGATGACTGTCTCCTTCTGATGTCTGTGATAAGTTGTCTTCAGGCTCCCGTCTCTTTCAAAACCTCTTGGTTGTTCCTTTTGACTGTCCAGGGTATTCTAACACTTTAATAATAAAACATAAAGCGACGACCGTTCTTTTTCTATTGTGTGCACAGTATTTCAGGATCCTCGCCGGTGCTACAGAGCCTGTGCACTGTGCTGAGCTTCTTCGTACTCAGACTTGAGTTAGAAGAAGAACAGTGCCCTTTTGGGTTACTACCCGTGTGCCATATTGATCCGTTGTTTAAACCTCAAATCTCTTGTGTGCAAATGTTTAAAGATTGCAGGAGGCTTTCTTGGCATCCGTGTGAAAGAAGACAGGATCTTGAGGATTTGTTTCTCTACAGCCAGCGACTAAGTCAGTAATTCCTAATTTCCAAACATGGTTGCACTTGGACCGTCGGTAGTACAAGGTCACGGTTGCACAACCCTTGTCTAAAGTCACATGGGCATAGAAAGCAAGGACAACTATCAAACTAATATCCTTAAAAAAAAAAAAAAACTTACAGAAGAAAAGAAAGAAACAGCATCCTCATATCAGTGTTATCTCTCTGTCTCTTCTTGTGTGATATTCAAGAGCCTTACACATGTGACGTCTTAAAATGTTCCGAAAAAAGTTTCAGGCGTCTGTGTGATCGTGAGGCTTACATGGGCACTGAGAGAATAAGGAATACCCAGCTTCTTAAAAAACGGGTCGCTGCAGACCCCCCCCCCCTCTTTCTCAATGTGGTGGGACGAATTTTTCGTAATTCTGCCCCCCCCCCCCTTGCGTCACCGGGTGTTTATCGCTCAGTGTGATGTCCTAGAGGGGTAACAAGTCAGTCAGGAAGTGCCACTGTAATTCCGGACACATTCAGAAGACGTGGTAGGAGACTGAATACCTTCTAGAAATCACTAGAGCTAGAAATGGAGCCAATATCGAAGCGTACTTGGCTAAGTTTAAAATTTTAATAAAATTGTCTGAACACTGTAAGATACCGCACGTGTATGATATACATTAAATACTTGTGTTTTAACAACAGTTTAAAATCCCGGCAACCATTCTTATGACCGTATATTTTAACAGACCAACCGCCCGGCTCTCTAGCGTAGTTGGCTAAACCGGACTGCGCGGTGACCGGGCGACGAACTCCTTGTGGTCCGGGTTCACTCCCGGGGGTAGGCAGAAAAGCCACATTTCTCCCAGATTTACTGTGTTTATTATGGAATCAAGGCCGAAAGGTTGCGATATCCATAATACCGAGCCTAAGGGTTAACAACTCATGGCTTCTGGATACT